AAATTAATATAATACAATTATAATAAATATATAAATAAATATAGAAAAACAAATCTATATTTCAGGAGGAAAGATAATGTTCTCTCACTTGTCTCTTAAAGATAGAGATAGACTTGGCGTCCCGAATGTTCGGCGGGAGCGAGTTCCATAGTCTCACTGCATGAACGGAGAAGGAGTAGGAGTAGAAGTCGGTATTATGGGGCACAATTTTAAGATAGGATTTAAGATGAGAACGAGTAAGGACTTCAGGAGGGCGCACCAAGGAGAAACGGTCTCGAAGATAAGTAGGATAGGCTGGGTTGAAGAGGATGTTATAGAGGAGACATAGTATGCGAGTGTTCCTGCGAAGACGGATTGGGAGCCACTTGAGCCTGTTACGGAATTCAGAAATATGATCGAACTTCCTAAGACCAAAGACGAAACGGATACATACATTTTGTAAACGCTCAAGTTTATTTAATAGCTCCTCTTTGGCGTCCAAATAGTAAGCATCTGCATAGTCAATGAGAGGCAAGATCAGCGCCTGGACGAGGTGAATCTTAGTCTTCACCGGAAGCAAGGTCTGGAGGCGCCTCAGCGAGTGAATAGAGAAATGAACTTTCCGACTAACCTCGTTCACCTGAAAAGCCCACGACAAGTTCGAGTCGATATGCACCCCCAAGTTTTTCGCAGTATCAGTGAATGGAATGCGTGTGCCATTCTAACGTCATGGACCAAGGCTAGGGACGTCGAGAGCGTTTCGATAATATCTGCTACCGATGATCATGGCCTGAGACTTGATAGGATTGCTTTGCAATCCAAAAGACCTAGCCCACTCGGCAACGCCATCCAAGTCACGATTCATGGCATCGATAGCAGAATGGGCCTCGGACAGGCCAAAGTGGCCTATGAAAAATATTATGTACTTACCTACACAAATACAATGCCATTTAGATAAAATAAAGAATAAACACGACTGATACAAACCTGGGCTGATCCTTGTCCTCTTATTGACATATTCTTTCCCATAACACAGCAATACTCTAGCGTTAGCCAACTGCCGTCCACACAGGATCACGGGGGTCTGGTTTGCTGCAGCATACGCCAGGGTCAGAAGACAGGATACCAGGATAAGCTTCATGTTTTACTAGACAATTAAAAACCTCCTTAAAGTTATTATTGGTGTAGTCGATTGATCACAGTAATCACATAAATATTATAAGTGTAAAAGTTGGTTTGAATGTTTGCCCGTCAACCACGCTGAAACTACTGAACCGATTTTGATTAAATTCGGTATACAGGCAGGGTATGGCAGGCTGACTTAAGTGATAGGATTATTTTTATCCCGATTAAATGCTCTTATAGGATAAAACAGGAATCATATTCTACACGGACGAAGTCGTGGACAACAGCTAGTATAATATAACTGCCGTATATTGGGTAACTGGTGGTAAGTTATATTACTAAAGATAAATTTGTTTTATTACAATAAAAATTGTCATCCCGTCAGCCGTTTTGACGTGAAAGAATAGCAAACACACACACACACATACATACATCCTCACAAACTTTCACAATTATAATAATAAGTATATTATAGTAGCTAGTAAGCTACTTCCGCGCGGTTTCACACGCTCTGCTCAGCTCCTATTAGTCGTAGCGTGATATTTTATAGCCTATAGCCATCCTTGATAAATGCGCTATTCAACACAAAAAGAATTATTCAAATCAGACTTGTAGTTACAGAGATTAGCGCGTTCAAACAAACAAACAAAAAAACAAACTCTTACGTCTTATATAATAGTATAAGATATATATATATATATTAGTAAGATAAGAGGTACGATAGTACATAACATAATAATTAATATCACGCCTTTTATCCTCGAAGGGGTAGTCAGAGGTGCCACTGTACAAAGTAACACCCACTTTTCACTATTTATGTTATAAGTCCCATGTTATAAGTAAGATTAGGCTAAATGTTATTAAATGAAATATGTATATTAATGATCTATTTTGGTCCTAGCACTTAATATTAAAACGTAATACAGGATTTATTATTTGCCAATGATTTACTTACCGTTTCAGCTGCGGTGTGATTTTAGGGAAAGTTTATAGATGTATGTAAATTCCCTGAAAATTCGTCTTATATACTCACTATTGAAAACTTAGGCTATGTTTCCATTACAGGAGAGTGCGAGGTTTTGCTCTTTTGGCAAGGGCACGCGCTAATATACGTCATTTTATATCTTGTTTTATTAATATTTAATTTCTCTGTCACTATATTGTTATACTTTGTTCTTGGCATTACTCTTTTTAGTTTATTGTTACTGTTTTGTATTACCTGTATTATATATCTGTACTTTTTTCTTTGTTTTTCTCGTAAACCACTTATTACGTTGCCCGCGCACGAACATGCACACATACAAGTCAAACTGAGAATTTTCTTTTTTATATGTATTTAAAGTCGATTAAAGAAAAAAAATTCACAGTATATACACTTAATTATAATAAGTTACTATCATCCATCTCTTTCACAAAATTTTAAGCATTCAACTGTAAACATAATTAATCATTATGTTTTTCGGCTTCCTCACGTAATTATTTGATGAGGAACTCGACTAGTTTCAAGCCATTCTAGAGGCTTATATTCATGAGCAGCATTCCGCGACCAGTGACACGGCGACCATCGCGTTGTTATTGCTAAAAATAATAACTAATTTAGTATGTCTCTCGAAAGTTATATTATATATACATGCAAGCGTAATAATACTATCACGCTATTCCCACCAATGTATCCTCACCTCTACACTAATCTAAATGCTTACCCGCCGTTCAATATGAAAGCTTTTTACCTGAATGCGTTTTGATCTTAATTTAATATGTCATTAATGAATTTCATTACTCTTGGATTTGATAAATATAAAGCGTGTTACGTCACGCGTAATGCGTGTTATGTCCTATTTGGGAGATAACCAGAGATAATAATAATATTATCTAAATATATCTTAATAATAATAATAAATTAATTTATCAGTGGTTTTGTAACTATTATATTTTTATTAAGGTTTTATGTTTTGTGAAATGGTTTATATGATAGGTAGAAATTAAGTATATAGGTACGTAGTAGATCATTTTTTAATTGTGACAGTTTAGTTGCTCAGTTTAACATATGTATAATCTTCAAAGAACTATGAAGATTCTTAGAACAAACGTAACCTATATCATGACTTATTGCTGCCTACCTAACGAAATGTTTGAAAGAAACGGATACTTTGGCATCAGCAAAAAAGCAAGCAGGAAACCGCTCAATTTGTATTCTGGAGTGGTTCGACATAAATAACGGGTAAATTAATTTCGGCTCCTGCACGAAATTGCTGACCAGTGCAAGAGAAAATATTTTTTTTACATTCAGTATTCTGTTTAAGTAAGTAATTGATAAATTCATATACACTTCTAAATGATAAAGAACTATATACTTATCGCTTAAAACAATTTACTTAGGTACGTATACAGAATTTTTTTCAAAACCCGGTGTTATATGTATATGTGAAACCTTGTTTAATCCTGGAAGGGGGAGGTGAATGCAAAATAACCTTTGTGCATTCACTTACCCGGGAATGGAACGCAAGTTCCCTAAGGTCATACTTACGTCCACGGACCAACAAGGCAGAGGTGTAGGAAGTACAGATATTAGCTTAACACAAATTTGGTTAAAGCCTAGCAGTATTCCTAACTAGTTTAGCGTGAAGCGTCAGCTTTCAGCCTAGGTGCTAGGAATTTACGAAATTGGACGCGACTAATCCAGATGCTCGAAGTCTGAGATTGGTCTATAGATTTTGGCAGGATTTAGACGTACACTAACTCGAGTAACGTAGATGTAAATGAGTCAGTACTCGTGTAACGTAGACTTGTAGGAGACTTAATCTAAATTGAGACAGTCTGTTAACGTGCTCTTTAGAACGTCTCAAAGTTACCTACCTAAGTACTAAATGTTTTGTAGGCACTATTCGCATCGCAAGTGGCACAAGAAATAACTATTCGAGAATTACATAGCGTGATATTTTTATAACGTACATGAGTTCGCATGCGCTTTCGAAGTTTGGCGCATCGTGTTGCGGGTTTGATTCCCGCACGGAACAACTTACTCTTTGTGTGATCCACGGATTGTTGTTCCGGGTCTGGGTGTCATGTGTATGTGATATTGTATATTTGTAAACGCACCCACGACACAGAAGAAAATCCTAGAGTAGGGCAACGTTTTTTTTTTAAAAGTGGTTTACTTACCAGTTATTTTTTGTTTTGTAATTACTACTTCTTTGTAAAACTATTGAATAAATAAGACAGGGCCATTTGAGTTACTGCTGGACGAAAACAAAATAGACTTCGCGGTGTATACTATTAAAAGCTGAAGAGTTTATTTGTTTGAATGCGTTTATCTCAGGAAGTACTGCGCCGATTAGAAAACTCCTTTTGTGTTGGATAGTAAATTTATCGGGGAAAGCTATAAGCCATAAAATCACGATACAATCAATAGGCGCCGAGCAGAGCGGGTGAAACCGCGCAGAAGTTATTAGCTAGTACATTACACGCACTCACAAAAAACCGACGTGAAACAGCACTTGTGTTGTGTTTCGTCGTGTGAGTGAGGTTACCGGAGGCCCAATTACCCCCTTGCCCCAATCCCCGAATCCCTAACAATCCACAAATCCCTAATCCCCAAAAGGCACGTAACGCATTTTTAACACCTTTGCGTTTCGGGTGTCCATGGGCGCCGCCGATTGCTTACCATCAGGTGATCCGTTTGCTCGTTTACCGGTTCATTTAAAAAAAGGAGGTTAAGTTAAAATCACACTAAATATACTATTCTTTATTTGATTCCTTTATCAATGGTATCTCATTATTAACACAAACAGTCTTTGAACCAATTACACTATGATTTGACTTTGTACTTAGGTAAATACATTATATAAATAATAATACTCTGCTATGAAAATTTACTAAATTTTTTATATATTTTTTTATTCAAATATTTCAGGATTTTCTTGTACTAGTTTGGCATCGTTTGGGCAGTAAGTGATGATGTCTGCGACAGTACATGCCCTGTCACAGCACTGTGTCGCCACCTGTCTGCGCACGCGCCTCCATTGGCCCTCGTCAACTAATTGCAGTCTTGCTGTCTCTTTCTGTAAGTCTTTTGGTGCCATTTTTTCTGTGAAAAATTAAAATCTTATAAAGCGCCTGTACAGTTTTAAGTTATGGTTAAGAAATTGTAAGCTAAATCCGTACTAATATTAATTCGCAATCATTTGTTAATTATATTGTCGCCAATCTCATTTAATAGTCACTCAATGATTTGAATTCGTTATTAGGTACCCTAATTCTGATAATAGACAATCTTGATAAGTTAGAACGTTCTTATTCGATTTAAGATCAAACAACTTATATTACAAAAAGAAGATATTGAAAACTCGGGACTGCCTACAATGAATAAACCAATATCTTTACAGAATTTAATTATAAGTTTCGAGTGAACTCGCTATATAAAAATCGTTTTCATTTTACAACAAAATCAAGTGTCTAGTTTGAAGAAATGAAACAAGTAAATACCTGAAAAGGAAATTTCATGGAAAATAATAATTATTGGATAATTAATTAACCTGATACTCGTATCTCGGAGGCATTTTTAATAAATAAAATTACACGAAATCTCGCGTTTTATACATTACAGGTTTAAAAGTGAACCACTTTACTGTATTTAATATGAATTCCATTGGTAAAATTACGATAAAGCTCGCTATTACCAAGCATGTCGAATAGTTAACCTAAGAGCAACAACTAAAAATCGAAACTGTCTCTGAACATCGAAGCCGGTAGTAGTCCAATCACAATAAAACTATTTATATCAATGAATTTATTATCAATACAATAATAATCTTACCTATCATAAGAGAAGTATCCCTCTTCACTATTTTATAAGTGTTATTACAAATATTAAATATTATGTTAGATAGCCACCCGCTACAGCTTAATACTGGGTCATTTAAGTTAAATATCCTAACTTGATCAGCATATACTGAATTTTCATTGCTAAATAGAAGCAGCACGATGTACACCTGAAACAAAGAAAATATACATTTATTATCTTCAAGATTAGACAATAAAGCAAAATTTTGTAGAGGACTGTATTTGTCTATATTTTTGATAATTACGTAACTTATCTAAAGCCTCTGATGAGGTAGAAAATGTCTAAATATCATAAATAAGGACTGTGTGATTGAATCTCCAATTTTATAAAACTGATTTTTCTATAGTGATACAAAATATGCAGTTGCCGATGTAAATAAATCTATTAATCATTGCCAAGCCATCTATTATTTGAATCACCTACTAAAGGTGTACCGCAAGGTTGTATTTTCGGTCCCTTACGAAATAATTTAATGTCTATACTGAGACAATGCTTACTTAATAGCTACATCAATATTTATGACTCACATAAACAATAACAGGATTACAATTATAGTCAATATTAAATTAATAATTATGAGAGTAGACAGTGCAATTAATAGTGACAATAACAATTGTCAGATAAGTTTAAAAATAAACAAATAAGTACTTTAATTCAATTATTTGTAGCGAGAAAGCAATGGAAATACACGGACCTTTAGTGTAAACAACTTTTTTTTTAATACTGAAGTGTCAATGTCTCATACTCAGGAAGCAAAAGTTATCGATGGAAGCTTTTTATAAAATTTTAACGCAAAAAACTTCCATCAGTGGGTCAAATTCGTGAACTGTGACTAGTCAGCTACAGACTATATTATTTATTGTCGTTAAGGTTATTTTCTTTTTCGATCTCTTTGACTGGATTATGGTGTTACATTGTTCTCGCACAATCGAACCAATAAAACTTTGTAACCAGAGAATTGTATTGTGAACCTGATTGAAAAAGAGTAACCTATGGACTTTCCTGCTCGTTCCTCTCCATAGGAATGAGCAAATAACTTCACTTTTAATTTTATTTTTTTGTTGACTTCCTAGTCTAATTGAAATAAATGATTTTGCCTTTGACTTTGACAAATGGGATGAAAGTTTAATGTGTTACAGATGAATACTTCTAAGTCCCTCTAAATGCCCTCTAAGTCTGGGCCACTATTTATAACACAATCTGTGTATTAGAACGAGTTGTCTTCATTTAGAATTCAATTCAAAAGTGAGCTTTGTCATATTGAATTTATTTTATTTCCGAAGTATATGATGTATAAATGAATTTGTTTTGTTTCTGGATTTGAATCCTAAATGTAAACATACACATTTCCGGATTGTTCAAATAATACCGAACTAATAAAAACATAAAATTATAACTGAAACTGTAAAATAAAATATAATTATTGTATTTAAAAACATCACTACAAAATAAATAACCGTATACAAAAATAATAAATACAATATTCAAAAAGAAACGAATAAAAACCAACGATAACATAAACCTCATCCCTATAATATTTAAAATACAAACGAAAAATAAATACGAAAAAAAATGACTACATACAGAATATTTCAAGTTCATCCTTGTTCGAAATTTAAACACGGGCACTGCACTATAACAAAATTGTTTGCTCGCTCACTGTAACCTGTTGAATGGGACCGTCACAACACTGCAGCTCTAAAAATAGCCCCCGCTGGTCCATAGTACGGAATTACTTAAAACTTATTTACCGAGATAAAAGCGTTTACAAAACATTGTCATGGCAATAAGATAAGAGATTCTTCTAAACAACACGTGATAACGGGTTACATAGTGATTAGGGGTGGTAGGGCATCGAAAGTGATTTATTGTTATAGTTTATCTTATAGAAGGATTCCGAATTTGATACATGCATAGTTTGTAATGTCGTAATTAGTAATGCATGAGGTTGCGAGTTCGAAACCTACCAACGGCAAGTACCAATGTGACTATTTTCGAGTTACATGTACATTTTAAGATGATTTAGACACCACTGACAAACAGTGAAGGAAAAACATCGTGAGGAAACCTGGGCTAATAATTTCTAATTATAAGTTTGTAATCGCCAACCCGCATTGAGAAAGCGTGATGATTAATCCCTAAACCTTCTCCATATGAGAAGATGCTTTTGGTCAGCAGTGACCATTTATAGGCTGTTGATGTTATGTGATGGTCTGTAAAGAGTTAGTTTTTTATGGGATAAGGCGTTCAACGAGCAGGCGGTTCACCTAATGGTAAGAGGGCAGCGGTGCCCATGGAAACCTGCAATACCAGAAGCCGCAACACTAGTGCGTTACCGGTTTTATGAGGGTTAGGGGATTTTAGGACTGTAGTATTGGATTAGAGATTTGAGGAGGGGGATCGGGCTCCGGTAACATCAGTTTCGCACCTGTTTTTTTTTAGTTTTTTATCTGTGCTTTGCATATAAGCCTTGTGACAGCGAAAAAATATTATGCATTTGTCACTCTTACTTCTGTTCTCGCCCGTATCCCAAGAGCTGACCAAAAACTATAAATTTGACAGACTAGACAGCAGTGGTATCTTTAAATCTGCAATATTCAATCTAACACATATTAAACAACTTACTCACACATTTTTGTGTAGTTCACAAACTACGTTTTTTTCCCAACTGTAGGAAGGGTATTATTATTTTTTTCCTTTTTCACATCACGCCTTATATCCCCGACGGGGTAGGCAGAGGTGCACATTGCGGCACTTAATGCAACTATACAATCATGTTGCACCTACTTTTCACTATTTGTTATGAGTCCCGTGTAATAGGTGGTGAGCCTATTGCCATATACCAGGCACGATTCCAGACTCCGTGTTACCACTGAGATTTTTTTCAAAAAACCCAGTATTACTTTGCCTGGCCCGGAAATGGATCCCTAGACCCCTTGCCTAGACTGGCGACCATTCGGCCAACTAGGCAGTCTTTTTCTAGGTAGTAAGTAACCCACGACACAGGTGATACTCCTAGTGGAAGGTTAGGTTAGGTGGAATTGTAGCATTTAAAAAGATATGAAAAGGCTCCGCCCACAGTAACTAACCAAAACTTCACGGAATTTTATCAATCTATGTAACATTATACGCGTAGGTAACAATCAACTGAAAGTAAAAACAAAATGTTCTATTTTTAACATTTCTGTTCCTCCACGTAAAAACCCGAAACAAACAAAATAATGATTCATGTCGATGGTATTTTATTGTGTTCATATTTTATACATTATTGAGTCATTGATGGTTAACCAGGTCACTAGTGCCGGTACAGAGTCCCTATATTTCAGAGGATGGCAAATTATATTAGTATCGGCCCTTGTGACTCTCACAAAAGAAAAAGTATTTTACGAATAGACATCATTTGAAAAATGAACTTTAAAAACGACTACAGAGATGTGAAAATGCTTTTTTCGTAGGGCCTTAAACATGCTCCCTTTTTGAAGGTTAAATAAGACTTAATTAAAACTTGCATAAAGCATTGCGAAGACCTGTTACTATTCCGAAGCCTGAGGCCTGAGCAAAGGCTTTTTCTCACACACAATTAGAAACATTATTCATAATGTTTGATCAAGGTGGATTGATAATTTCAGACTCATAATTAAAAGTCCATTTTTCTCACGATATTTTCTATCATAACGCATATCAATTAAGATTTTTTAATTATTAAGCTTAATCCAATAGTCGTTAGATTGTCAACCATAATTATTCATTCACATTTTTGAATACTTTTTGTCGACCATTCATTTCTTTTTCTTTAAATACATTATTTGGATAGAGGTCACCTGGTGGGCGTTTGACCGCACGGTGACCGCAAAATGAAAATGTTTGACAAACAACTGTGAAAATGAAACAAGAAAGTTTTACTTTATCTAAAGTATCTGTAAGTACCTACTATTACATTTATATCTACGTAATAATATGTAGGTACTTACTAATATAATTTTGTTATTTAGCTATTGATAGTCACCGTCGATAATTAGGTACATATCTTGATCCTTTTCTCTAGGCTGGTTTTAGTGTCGCGCTGACGGAGTGACGGTACGCGCGCTGTCAGCGCTGATGAATATGAACTTCTAGAGAGCTTTTTTGAATGACGCGAAGCTATCAAAACGCACGGTGGTCACCGTTGACCACCAAGTTACATCTCGGCTGTCAGCGCTGACAGTCAGCGTGCGGTCAGCGCGACAATAAAACCAGCCTAATTAATACATGTTTTTTTTTTAAATCCGTCGCTGTGTCTATACCAGTGCCTTTAGCCAAACGCCACTTTAGCGCTTGTCTACAGAGAGAGTAGAAAACTTAATGTCACTGACAAATGTCAAAATTTACGTCAATCTATACTAATATTATAAAGCTGAAGAGTTTGTTTGTTTGAACGCGCTAATATCCGAAACTTCTGGTCCGATTTGAAAAATTATTTCAGTGTTGGATAGCCCATTTATCGAGGCAGGCTATAGGCTATAAAATATCACGCCACGATTAATAGCAGCGCGAGTTAAACCGCGCGGAAGTAGCTAGTCCCATATAATTTGGTTTTCTATTCTACATGTAGACAAGCGCTAAATGGCATTTGGCTACAGCTGCTGATACCTGTCCCTGCCTCACACTCTCGATTCTACGATAGAATCCGCTAACCACACATTGAACCACCAAGCCAGCTTTTATCACTTCCCAATATTTGTACTAACCGAAATAATGTTATTTTTGTCACCAAACTCTCCCAACCTTATCTAAGTACATTCATCGTGCACATAGCAACTGCTTCGTACAGATATGAGCAGGAAGTAAGCGGTATATATATTGACTAAAAATAAAGAGCCGGGGTCACAGATCACTATTTACTCACTACTCTAGTCATATCTACCTATCTATTATGTTTATATTGTTTGTATATGTCCCACATCCACAAGGATACTGGTCACTCGCTTGCTAGTGTATTTCGTTTTGTTTATTTATTTTAGGTATTTATTTTAGTGTTTTTTACGAATTAGATTTGGTTAATTTAGTAACCATTAGATTTGAAATTAAACATAAGGTAACTGACATCTAGGCTTTCCTCACAGTGTTTAGTTTTGTCTTGTAGACATTGCAATCGAATTAGCATACAACTTTTTCTATAAGTAGGACGAACAGCTTTTCTATATCTGCAGAAGAATTAGCTATGATTATGGCGCTACTTAACATCTACTAACAACGTTATATTTATAAAGCACAAGCTATTAACCAGACTCTCATATCTAACGATAGACACTAAATACCAAAATTACCTATAAGTGACATAATTTCTTTCATTTCCTAAAATAGTAAATATGAGCTGACATTAAAACGTAACTTTTTCGCCAATTAACAACACGAAATTACAAGATGCGTACAAACAATCCAAGTGCAACAAACACACACTATTTATTTATGAACAATAAGTAAATTGACTAACCTTAATTTGTTGTTGTTGTTGTTGCTTTGGTGATAAGAAGTGAGACATCCCCAGCAAACGACGCCTGATAACGTGACATAAACAAGTTACAATCGCTTGCGCCGGCAGCGCGCGCGCCGACTTGATATATGAATAAATTAAGGATCGATTGACATACTTCTCTTAACAAATTATTATTCTCAGCGCCACCCGATCTGCCGTGACCCTAATGATAAAGCTGATATTGACTCATTTGCGAAACATCCTTGTTGTTTTTTTATTTATTATCACTCGTATAGTTTCATGTTAATTCTTTACTTAATGTTTGTGTTCTCAGCTCTATTTTGGTAATAGTCTGTCTAATTCTAGACTAGATAACTCTAAAAAGAATATAATAATTCACAACTACATAGTTGCACCCTCTATTCCCACGTCCGGTAGGGCTGATGCTCGATACGGAACCGCAGAAGGCCTAACGGGTTGCCGGAGCTCCGGCTCGAAGAGCAGCAGTGGGAATGGGGTCGTTTTTAGTCAGTATGACTCTGACACTCCCTCTCGCCTAACCCAAGGCGGAAAAAGTCATTGGATGATATTACCCCCTCAAAAAAAACCTGTATTCCCAAACACTCAAAATCCGTAGTAACAGCTAATTAATTCTTTAAGAAAAATCTGTCAACAGTATTTACTCAGCTGCAGCCCATTTGGAATCACTCAAACAATGAAACAGTATTTTTTTCAGTAAAGCTACAAGCTATGTGCAACGCGAAAAAGCAACGTTAGGTTAAATATAATTTCATTTCATTAAGTACCTACAGATATTTCAAGAGTAATAGACCGGACCAATTGAATCTTTCTATCGTAGAAAATAAATAGTTTTTTTCTGTCATAGGTCTTCTTGTTCGTATTAGACGGTTGGTCAGATATGTTTCTATTTTCTAGTATTGTCAGCCTGTAAACTGAGGGCTACGGTTCCTTCTCATACAAAGTTCCTAGAACTGAGGCATTTCAAATAAATGTTTCCTTCAGAGAAATCCAAACGTATTTCCGCTTTGTATTTATTTTTTATTTAGAATTTCTTTCATAATATTACGTTTATATTTCTTTGATAAAGTTCAACTTCAATTTCGCTGCACCAATCAAGTTTATTATG